TCTGTTAACCCTGTTCCTGTTTAGTGGCAGAAGAGCATTTCTTGTGTCTGCTTGTTTGTGTCTGTGCCTGAATGTCACAAGCCTTGAATTGGTAGTTAAGGGGTGCAAGCAACGCGTGCAGTGAACAGCCTGTGTCCTCAGACAGGCTAGGGCCTGCTGGTCGGTCACCCCCGTGTGTGCACCACACCCCAACGCCCGGAAGTGGGCAGTGAGCAAACAGTGCAGGTGCCCACTGTGCGCGTGTCTCCTCCTAGCCCGTACCTGTTCCTAGCACTGGGCTGGAAGTTGGGAGACTCCTAAACGGAGACATTCATTCAGCAGACATATATCGGGTAGGTGCCTCTGCCGGAGGCTTTGTGCTAGAGGGACATCTGTGTACCTAGAGTGGATTAAGCTACCTGGGTTTGGTTTTGCCACCTAATAAGGTGGCATTTCCCACAACTACATCTCCTAGAAAGGAAGATTCCCGGGCCACACTCAAACCCAGCGAAGCAGAGTCTGCATCGCCAGCCAGGCACCCAGGTGGCTGTGCGGCAAGAGCTGTATTCAGCCCACCCTTTTAACTGTGGGCGGCGATCACCTTCGCTTGATGCCCCCCGTCATGGAGGTGTATAAATGGCCTCCCACACGGGATGAGCCATACTCTTCAAAACTCACTGTAAAAATCTAAATGACTACATGATCCCGTTGTCAGGAGCAGATACTTAGGAGCGGAGATTCCGCTGTCTTCGGACTTCCATGAGCTAGGGGGACAGATCTGACTGTCCCGGGCTGGGCCTGTGAGCTCTCTCGACTGCAAGAGAAAGTGGGGATGAGACACTGAAGAGCTCAGAGGGGACCCAGAGCTGGAGGGCTGTGGCGCCTCACCTGATCTGCAGGTTTCCTGCTTGGAGCCCTGCTGCTGGTGCACTTGCCCTCCCGTGGGAGCTGCTCTGTGACCGCCCCCTGCAGTCTAAGTGTGGTGCTGTCATGTAGAAGGAGCCCGCCAAAGACCAAGCCTCCTCCTCTCTTTTTGCAGCGACACAAAGCCTATGAACTCCTTCCCATCCTGTGATTTTCTTCCTCCTCCCAGATCCCATTCTCAGACTGGTGGGAGCCGGAAGTCGCAGGACCCTGGCTGCGTGCTTGGGCCTTTCACCTGCCCTGCTGGGCTTCGAGCAAGCCTGTTTTCCCATAGGCTGCGAGGTGCCTGGGGTGAGGAAATGCTAACTGCTGCTGCAGGCAAGGCTGAGGTGGACTCAGCGGGCATTGCATCCTAATGGTGACCCTGGCGTAGAGAAAGGCAGGACGCGGCCGATGGGCGGGAGGGCTGGTGAGGGCTTGGGCAGGGCCCCTGAGCCTGCCGACCTCTGAACCTGCTGCTGCCATGGTCCACTTTATGAAGCCTTTCTCAGGGGGCTCTGGGACTTTCTGACCACAGCTAACACCTCCTGGAGGTAAAACTTCGTGCTGTGTGTGCTTTAAAGCATAGAGACGCTGGGGAAAGAACGGCAGGAGTCCATCAAATAGCATCACAGCAGTCGCCAAGGCCAGAACAACGTGTGGGTGGCGAAAGCATTCCTGAGTTGAATGTCTATTTTAAGCATGGTTTGACGAAAATCTCTAGGCAGCTGAAAACATGGGAGAAACTTCGGCTCGGTGGTGCTAAGATGATTGTCTCAAGCCTCTCCGTGGTAAGGTTTGGCATTTCATTTTAAGGATTTTTTTTTTTTTTAAATATTGAAATTTGGGAAACTGGAAACCACCAAACCTGGAAGCCTTTGGTGTTAGAAAGTAGATTCAGACAGCCGGCCGGACAGCTCAGCGGACTAAGCACCTGCTTAGGCGAGTGCAGGGACCGGGTTCCCGGCACCACATGCCTTGCCGGCCCCACCCCCGGCGTGGTGGCACACACCTGTAATCCAGGCGTGTGAGACAGGAGAGGCTGAGACGGGAGGATCAGTACGAGTCGGAGCTACGTCACGTGACCCTGTGCCAAATACATAAAAAACAAAACATGGATTCAGGCTTGGAGCTCTGCGGCCCCCTGAGCCAGGAGTCTGGGAAGCTGCAGAAGTGACCGTGGAAGAGCGTCCCTGGCACTCAGAAGTGCCGTGCGTCTCTACCGACCTAACCTGTTGTGCACTTGACGGCCTTTTGCAGAACAAACTTCTAGAAAGGCTCTTCATTGCAAGACGTACACACGGGTAGTCAAACTACGTGGCGAATATTTAATTTTCAAACTTTCTTACAGTAAAAGTCACAGTGCCACGAATGCCCCCCAGAGTACTCCCCCTCACTTCAAATTCACGCAGCCCACCATTCTTGCCACTTCCTGAAGCCACTGCAGAAGGCTTCCTTCTTGTCTGTAGGAGGCATGACCAAAACTGCAGTAAAAGCCGCTGCCAAGGGCCGCCCAGCAGAAAAGCAGGCTCGTGAGGACAGTGAGGTCTGACACCATTTGGCACCATGTGGCTTAGGGGCTCTTGCCCAAAATCAGGATGGCCACAAACCTTTTGAGTCAATTAGGATGTCAAGTTGCCTGCAGCAGCAGAACTGGAGACACTCCTAAAAGAGCAGTATGCCAGGCCTGTCTCGGAAAGAGGCGAGAGCCAGGGACAAGCGTGTCCGAAGGCAGGGGGAGGCCTATAGCAGGAAGGCGGCCACATGACTCGTCCTATAATTCTTTACAGTTTAAACACTCATCCTGGTTTTCAGGCTATACGTGTCAGAATAATTGTAGATAGGAGAGAAATAACGGGGGTCCTATGCGTCAGGGCACCTGTTGCGACGGTGTCTTACCAGGAGGCGTTTTTCAGCAAACTGATTTGGTACACCATGAATCCAACAAGGATCCAGTAAAGATGAGCCCACTTCTTATTCTTGAATATTTTCTGAAGGCCAGGGAAATGGCTTAGGGGCGCAGCACCTGCCTGGCAAGCACAAAGTCCTGAGTTTGATTTCCAGTACAAAAAAAGGTGTTGAATATTCTTTGAACAGGACTGTGTCAGAAATAAGAAAAATCTGAGGGCCGGCGAGGTAGCTCAGCGGACTAAGCACCTGCCTGGCAAACTCAGGGTCGGACTGGGGTTCGATCCCTGACACCACAGGCCATACCTGCCCTGCCCACTGGTGCACTGAGCTGACCACCCAGACCAGGGGTATGACGTACACCTGTAATCCCAGCACTGAGGAGGCTGAAAACAGGAGGATCAGTAGGAGTCTGAGCTGTGTAGTGAGACCCTATGCCAAATACATACTTTTTTTTTTAAATTTGTACAAGTTCTGTCTTAGAACTTATAAAATATTTCTGTCACTTTTCACAACCACTTCTTCTACACTGGCATTTTATTTTAACAACCTGAGGTATTTTTTAAAAATTGGCATCTCGTGACCTAAGATGTGGCCACTAAGAATCCTATCTTGTGTTTCCTACAGGCCAGTGGCAGGCTGGATTTGAACCCCTGGCACCAAGCCATTTTTCACTGATGTTTTCCAGTGGCTCAAAAAAGGATCTTACATTAAAGTCAGACTTCTGTTGAGTTTCCAGCCTATATTCTTCATGCTGTCATATGATTTCTGGCCCAAGATTTCATCCCCAGAAACTTGTTTTCTCACTATAAAAATAAGGTTCAGGGGCCAGGGAGATGGCTCAGTAGAATAAACGCTTCCTTGGCAAGCGCAAGGGCCTGAGTTCAATCCTTGGTTCCGCCAAAAATAAAATAAAATAGAATAAAAATAAAAATAAGGTTCAATGTAGTGTGCTTGCTTCTCTTTTTGTGAATTACTTAAGTCAGTTTTGACAGAAATGCCTAGCACATAGTAGGCACTTAAAAAGTACAACATGGGGCTGGAGAGATGGCTCAGTGGTCTAAAGCACCTACTTCAAACAAGCTTGGCAAAGCACAGGGACCGTGGTTCGATCCCCAGCACCACATGCCAGCCAGCCCTGCCCCCTGGTGGGCTGAGCTGGCCACACACACACACAATAAATAAATGTAATAAATAAAAATAAAATAAATATTTAAAAAAAAAAAAAGTACAACAGTATTGTACAACATTGTCAGTACACTTCCGGCTGCTGATTCATCTGCTTAAAACCCGCTCAAGGGATAAATGTTACGCTACGTGTACTTTATCACACAAGCCTTGCTGTGTAGCATCATTTTTTCTGAAGACCTGAAAGGTGCCAGCCACACCTGCACTACTCTTTGAGTGAAAACAGCCTAATCCAAGTGACTTGCTGTCGTAGGATGCTAATTCCGGAGGCCTTGGGGCCGTGCAGTCTGAGCACCCCTCCGTGCGGTGCCCCTTCCCTCCTGGCCTGGGACTGAAGTCTTCACCCTTGCGCCCCTCTTCCCCTGAGCTGCTTCCTTGCCCCCTTCCTGCCTGTCTCAGTGGTGAACTGCGGAGCCCAGGGGCGCCCTGCCCCAGCGCCCGTGACTGGACAGCCGCCTCTGATGTCACGCTGCCTTGCTCTTGCGCCATGGGGCTGTCTGTGGTTGCTCCATAGCACGCTGTGTGCTCAGCCGCAGAAATGCAAACACTGTTTTGTTTCTGGTTCTGTCCAAGAAAAATAAGACTGCAGAACTAACGGCCGTCTTTCCTTTCCTCTACCCATTTTTTAGTTTTGAAGTTCGGGCAGAGTATGCCACCACTCGCTACTTTTAAATCTTGATTAGCAGTTGTCTGATGCTTCTGGGACTATTGGAATAGATCTAATTTGTGGTGAGCGCAGGTCTCTTGCAAGATTCTAGCCTGGGAAAAATAGCCTCTCGCATTTCCTGATGGAGACTCTGCGTAGGATGTCACCGCTAACGCCATTTACCTTCTAGAGTGGGTGGAGGGGAGGCAGCAGCTGGAAGGCACCCCGACTTCTTAGGCCTTTCCCCTGGCGGTACGCTTTGTCAGCCCAAAGCCCTAGGCACACGAGGACTGAGGTGGCCGAGCAGTAAGCAGGCTGCAGGAAGCGCCCTGTCTGGGTACGAATTGCACGTGACATGGTTTTCTTTTGGTTATAGCAAGCAGATGAGACCCTGGATTTTGAAGAACAGATCTTGGAAGCTGCTAAATCCATTGCTGCTGCCACAAGTGCCCTGGTCAAATCTGCCTCCGCAGCCCAGAGGGAGCTGGTGGCCCAAGGAAAGGTGAGTGTGCCTGGCTGGGCCAGGAGCAGGGGGTTCCCATCAGGGGAGCCACCCAGGAAAGCAGAGACAGGCTCTGGCCCAGAGGACGTGCCTGCCGGGCCTCCTTCCCTCCACTGCCAGTCTTCACCCAACCACAGAGACTCTGGATGCTTGACTCGGCCAACTAAATAAAACATTTGGCTTCTGGGCCTCTCATCTGCTTCTTGTTAAGGAGTGCGCCCTGCTCCAGGCAGTGATCCGGGCCTGAACAAGACACTTACATTCCCACTGTACGTTCAGCCGTTTAAAGAGAGAAGCTGACATTGTTTCCTGGTGACCAGCCCAATAAGCACCAGAGTCAGGGGCCTTATACGTCACTCTCCAGCCCCACACGGCCCTGTTGGGTAGAGCTGAATGCCACTTGTCTGAGCCTGTTGGTCAGAAGAGCCACGTAAGATTAAATGAGCGATTGTTTGAGCCTGCTTTATCTCCTTTCACCTATCCTCTCTGCATTAGCATAGAAGCAGTGTTGGTCTTTAGGGTTCAGAAGATTAGGGTGCAGTGGTTTATAAGGTGTCATGTGTCCTGGGGCCACGCCATCCAGACTACCCGTGCTTCTCAAATACAGAGGCACCCCAGGAACCTTGTAGGTCTGGGCACTGTGGTCTCTGTCATTGTCAGTCACTCCTCTTTGACACTGAAAGGCCTTTGTGGTCATTGTACAGAGAGAGGATTGTGTTCTGGGGTCCAGGTGGAAGTGGAGCTGGACCGCAGGCTGGGCCTCCGCCCCCTAAAAGGCTCTCATGGACTCAGCTGCATCATAGTTGCTAGATTTGAACCCCTGGCACTAAGCCATTTCTCACTGACGTTTTCCAGTGGCTCACACTAGTAAAAGGATCTTACATTAAAATCAGACTTCCATTGAGTTTCCAGCCTATATTCTTCACAGTGCCACATGATTTCTGGTCCAAGATTTCATCCCCATAAACTGTTTTCTCACTATAAAAATAAGGTTCAGTGTAGCGTGCTTGCTTCTTTTTTTGTGAGTTACTTAAGTCAGTTTTGACAAAAATGCCTAGCACATAGTAGGCACTTAAAAAGTACAGTAGTACCGTACAACATTGTCAGTACACTTCTGGCCACTGATTCATCTGCTTAAAACCCGCTCAAGGGATAAATGTGACACTACGCGTATTTTATCACACAAGCATCGCTGTGTGATGAAGCACTCCCCAGACTCCGATGCTCCCTTCTAAGCCAGCATGCGGAAGGAATCTTACGCGGTGCAGTCGTGCCTCGCTCGCCTATCTGTCTGCTTCTCAGCTGACCCCTTGTAGGTCAGCAGGGTCTTGGTCTTGTCAAGCACATTTTTCAAGCTGTTGGCCGGTCACTACCTAAATCACTGCACAGAACACCCTGCCTAAAAGTACCAGCTTATTTCCACACTAAGAAAAGGCTGACTCCATGCTAGACGCTTGGCTGGGTCCCGCAGAACCTGCTGGTGACTGCGTAGGGCAGACTGCCCGTCCTCCAACGAGCCTGCTCGTGCAAGCTTTGTAAACATCGGTGCAGGAGCTTCAGCTGGTCTGAGGTGCACTGTAGGGCTGCGTGCCGGACCTTGGGCTTTTCCTGACAGCCAGCGGGACCTACAGTTGCAGCTGGATCCCCAGGTTCATTTTCAAATTGAGACGCTCTCCTTCCACCTAGCAGAAACCACCCACAAGCACAGGGGCGCTTCCTCCTGAGCTGCACCGTGCTCTGGAGACCTGGAGAGGAGGCCTCACTTGTCGCTGTGGCCTCTAAGCAGAAACGAAGATGACTCCTAGTTCCGGTCTCTTTGTCCTCTTCCCCACGCTGACAAAATAATCTGTACTTCTGTGAGACAAAGGTCTGTGTCCAGTTGTACAGGGGAAAAGCCACTCCCTTCTCTAAATTATCTGCCAGAATTCACAGCACAGCCCTCAGGGTCCGTTATCTGGAGAGAGTGGAGTCTTCCTTCAATCTTTAAGAGTTAGACTCGCAGGCGCCTCTGTTTAAAACAGAAAGGTGAACAAAGGGACAAAGCCCATGAAGAGGGCCCCGCAGCACCATCCTCTCAAGCCATTTCCAAGAACTGCTGTGCCCAGCCACACCGTGGAAGATGCGTGAATGCCCCTTAGCTTCTCTGGGGTGTGCAATATGTGCTGCTCTAGCTGGGGCCCCAGGAGAGAAAGGGACGCCCCCAGACTCGAGCCACCGCGAGAGAGGCTGCCGCATGTTTGTTGCCAGGGACTGGAGGGTGCGCAGACCTGCGGCCACCCTGGCCAGCCAAAGACCTCTGCAACTTCCCCCCCCTCCATCCAGGTGGGCTCCATCCCTGCCAACGCTGCGGATGACGGACAGTGGTCGCAGGGGCTGATTTCTGCCGTGAGTCACCTTCTCCTTCCTCCCTTTTCGTTTTGCGGATTCCTTGAGGGTGGTTTGGGCTGTGGGTCACCTCTCTGTCGGCTGTCCTCAGGCCCGGATGGTGGCGGCTGCAACCAGCAGTCTCTGCGAGGCTGCCAATGCCTGTGTGCAGGGCCACGCCAGCGAGGAGAAGCTCATCTCTTCTGCCAAGCAGGTCGCCGCTTCCACGGCTCAGCTGCTGGTGGCCTGCAAGGTGAAGGCCGACCAGGACTCAGAGGCCATGAGGCGGCTACAGGTAATGGTCACTGATGCTGGTGGGAAAATACTCCTGTTGGAGCGGGTAAGTGTCGCCAAAGGGGACGGCCTCACTTCCTTGGCATGACCCACGCGGCTTTCCATCCACCAGCTCTGTCCACCGTCCGGCGCCATCCTCAGCCTTTCACATCTTGCATCTCCCATCTGCTGCCCACCAGACTCCGTCTCCACCTGAACTTCCAGGCCTGCACCTTGGGGCACACACTCAGGGTGGCCTGGCCTCCTCCCCACAAGCCCTCCCTGGCCAACTCATGCTCTTATTTGGGATCTGTCTCAGAGTCACCTCTTGCAGGTCACCATCCCCACATGCTGGGGCCTGGTCACTCAGTCCCTTCCCTGTCCTGCCAGAGCTCTGACCTGACCACTCTTAGTTTCCCGTCAGTGCCACCACTGTTTATGTCTGTGTGGCAAGGGACATCTGCATCTCAATGTCCCTTCCCCCTAATGTGGCACCCAGAGCAGAGGAGGCTTTCAGTCGGTGTGGCCTCAGCAGGGAGCGGAAGCAAAGAGCAGGTTGTGCCCCGTCCCTAGCTTCCCCAGAGCCAGGGCACACATTTGTGAACTTGACAATTCATGCATTACATTTTCAGGTCGTTTTAATTAGATGAGTATTTTTAGGCATGGTAGAGGAAACATTGAAATGAAAAAAAAAAAAATCACTCAGCCCCCACATCTTCACGCCTCCAGTGTTTCATTGTTTGCTGTTCCTGTTACAATCTCTCTGTAAGCTGATTTTGTCTGGTTGTAATCATAGCAAGATACATCCAGCTTTCTCTGCACGTGATGTGTTACTGTTTTTTCTCCTTAAAGACAAGGCTCCTTTCTTCTTGAGTCTCGTCTTTAACGATTGCATGGTATCGCGGCAACCAGTTGTCCCAGAACCTCCTTGTGCTTCAAGCATTTTGTTTCTTTCCAATTTTCTGGAATTTTATTACTATTACTGTTATAATGTAAATCGTTTATTTTGCTAAAAGTATATATTTAGGTAGGTCAGTGATGGCGAACCTTTTGGACCTTTCACAGTGATAACAGACAGCCCACTGCGGCGTGTGTGCCCCAGGCTCCCCACCCGATAGAGGTCATGAGTGAAATCATAAAGGGCAGAAATGTTTAAACAGTTCCACCAGAACTCTGGCTTTATGGAAAGTCCCAGACTGTGTTTCTGGACTGCACCTGAGTCTCTCTGACAGCCTCTTTACCTTTGTTTGACCTCTAGGATACACCTAGGGGGAAGTTGAGGGGCTGCTTGTTTGTGAATCGACCATTCCTGAGTTTGGGGCACACATTTAAAGGAAAGAGCCCGAGTTAAGAGAGCCCTGCGATTGGGGCCTGCCTCTGTCATGTCGCTGGTACACGATCTTAAGTTAGCTAGAACTGTTGAAGCAGCAGTACCTTCCCAGGCAGCGGGCGGTAGAGGGCAGTAGAGGTCTCCACGGGGACCTTTCTAAGGGTCAGACAGGCCAGTGGACGCAGAAGGGCTTTGGGAGGTTCTGGTAGTTTATGCAGGTATAACACAACAGCATGCCTCTGACCATGGCTTCTCGTTAGCCCCCTGCAGGGTCATGGCTGAGTCCTTTACCCATGAATTCAGGAGTTCTCCAGAGTTAGGCCGACCCTGCATCAGGTCCTAGCTGTGGAAAAGATCTTAGTCAACTTCCTTGACCTCAGTCTCTACATCAGAAAAGTGGGCTTATGACTTCTGAATGCATAGAACCAGTTGTAGGGTCTGCATAGGACAGTTCCTTGCCATGTTTTCGTTGGCTTCTTTCTCCCTTATTGTATGAGCCTTTGCAGTCCCTTTGGGTCACTTGAGGTCACCAGACTTGGAGGAGAACTCTTTTCTTTTTTCCTGGTTAACCCTCAAGTACAAACCTTCAATTTTGAGGGTAGCTGGCTCATGAAAGCAGCTTTGACCAGCATGAAGAGACAGTTCCACACCTTGGCCAGAGGAGAACAGTCCCCAGGTCCATGCCAGGATGGAAGCCTTTCTTGTGCACTGAGAGCCCTTCATTCCTTCAGGACACTTTCAGTGACTGCTAACTCCAGGTGCCCATCGCACCAAGAGTGGGGTGCAGAGATTCAGATCACTGCCCCTGTCCCCAAGTCACCAGCATCAGCAGAGAGACAGGCAACCGCAGGTGTGCTAAGGGCTGCAGGAACATGGAAGGGGAGCATGTGGGCAGGGCCGAGGCAGACAGGAAGTGGGCATCACTGAGCCAAGTCCTAAAGTGTGAGCTGAACTTGGGGTAGGACGCTCTCAACCACCCAAGCGGCTCCTGAGCACACACATGTTGCCGCAGCCTTCGTGACAGGCTGGTGATTCCCCTGGGGAATAAGCTGTAGCTGGGTTGGTGCCACTGCACTAGAATTGGTGAATACAGGCACAGACGGCCGGAGGCTAGTGAGGCGGGAAAGAGCGTCTGTGTTACAGTGGGATAAGAAGTTCATTCATGGTCTCATCACCTGTGCCTTCATGTCTGTTCTCGCCAGACCCAAATGCCGTCTCTGACGATGTGGTGTGTGTCTTACCCCCTCTCCAGGCAGCAGGAAATGCTGTGAAAAGAGCCTCAGACAATCTTGTTCGTGCAGCCCAGAAGGCGGCATTTGGCAAAACTGATGATGATGATGTTGTGGTGAAAACGAAGTTCGTGGGGGGCATTGCTCAGGTCAGTGATAAAGTCCAGAACAGCGGCGTGCACCCCCAGGCTGGGTGTTGTGTCCTAAGAGGCACACAAGACAGCAGTGACATAAACGAGATGGAAATTCACGCTCTTAGGCAACTGTCCAAGCGTAAGCAGTGCAGGAATGTGTGATGGTTTCTTCATATCAGAGACCCGGATCCGTGTGCATTATTACTCCACGACTTCTGAGGTGTTGCCCTTGGCCACTTGGTCCAAGTGGCTTAATTACCACCTTAGTTTTCTGTCTTGCCAGGAAGAGGGGAAGGTAAGGAGGGCATGACCTGGAACTTGCCTACACGACTTCCTCTTGAGTCCTGTTGGCCAATTCTCAGTCATGTGACCAAATTTAGTTGCATGGGAGGCTGGGAAATGGAGTGTTCTTTTCTGAGTAGCCACAAGACACCAGCAACCAGGGGTTCTACTATAACAGAAGAGAGGAGCAGGAATTGTAGGGCGGCAGTGTTAATGTGTATTTAAATAAAATTATGCCTGTGGAGCTGCTGCCCACTCCAGGCACTGGGCCCCACCAACAGAGTGAAGGCTTTGTTGCTCCCAGAACTTTCCTAAGAATACATGGCACTGGCCTGTGGTCACATGCACAGGAGGGAGGCAGAAGCTCCAGGAGACTGGTTTCACAGTCAGTCAGTCCTAAGTGCACATTAACGTGGATTCACTGTGTGCGACGGTCTCCCATCAGCACCGGGTCCCTGCGCTTCCTCGTTCCTGTGCTCCCTGCGTTTGCTGTGCCCTGGATGCACTGGTAGCAGGAGGGGGCGGGGAGGGGGTGGTTACCAGCATCAGGGTTGAGCCCAAGGCCTGGCACCTGCCAGACAGGTGCTCCACCCCCGAGCTGCATGCAGCCCTAGAATTGCTTCTCCACGTGCTCGCTCCAGTCGAGGGTCCCTAGAGAAGGGTTCTGATGCCATAAATCTGGCAGACGTCCCTGTCGGAGCACATACCTGGTCACGCTGCTTGTGAGCCTACCAAAGGCTGTGAAAAGGTCCGGAGGAAAGGAACTTCCTGGCCTTCCTGAGCACAGACTTACGCTTCTCACGCCATACCGCTTGCCGTAGCTGGTATTCCTCGGATCTCAGCTTAGAAGGGTAGAATACAGTCTGCACTCTGAGTCTGTCTGCGGGCTGTACCTTCTTAGATTCAGTCAACCATGGATTGAAAAAGCACCCCCGCATTGAACATGCACAGGCTTTCTTCCTATCAGTCCCTAAATAATCCAGCATAACAGCTATGTAGCATTGACACTGTATTCAGCATTAACGATAGTCTAGAGATGGTCTAGAGATAGAGGGAGACACAGGCCATGTGATGCAAATGCTGTGCCTCTTTATACATTCCAGGCAAGTGCTCCGCCACCGAGCTCCCTCCCCAGGGCATTTTCAATAAAGGATTTGAGCACCTTCAGATTTTGGTGCCCTCGAGAGGGGCTGTCCTGGACCCAGTCACCCTGTAAAAATGCCTGACTGGGTGGGGAAGTTATCCAGGGGGCTGGGGGCACCGGCCTCAGCTTGCAGCACACCTGAGCCAGGGCCTCCCTCGCTTAGCTGAGTGACCCCAGGGGTGCCCCACCACCTCTCGGCTTCCTGTTCCCTACTGGGAGATAGGACTTGTAGCGGGATGTGCTTCAGGGTCGCCAGGAAGGTCTACGCGCAGTGCTCACCCCAGGCCAGGTGTGCAGGAGGAACCATAGACAGCCACTGTTAAACCAGTGCCCAGGCATAAGCTTGTTTTCCCGGGACAGCTGGGTCACTGGTCTCAAAACCCAGCCTTTGGCAGAGCCCCACCTCTGTCCCTGGTGTGTGCTGTGCGTCAGAGCGGAAGAGAGGTGTTGGGAAGCGTTAGGTCACCCGAGTCACCCCTTTCCTTTCAGATCATCGCCGCCCAGGAGGAAATGCTAAAGAAAGAGCGAGAACTGGAAGAAGCGAGGAAGAAGCTGGCCCAGATCCGCCAGCAGCAGTACAAGTTCCTGCCCACGGAGCTGCGGGAGGACGAGGGCTAGGGCCAGGCCGGGGTGGCGGCCCGGAGGTGGCTGTCTGGGCCGGACCGTGTTCCTGCACGGGCACATCCCTGCGAGCTGCCTGCTACCCCGGGGCCACCCAGAGCCCGCTCGCCCCTCTGTCCCGTCGTCGGCACCGCTGCATGATTGTGCTGCCGCACGGTACAGTGTCCCCCCACAGCTCCGCCGCCACCCCGGTGCCTCACCGATCTCAGGAGAGGGGCGCGCATCTCGTGGACTGCTACCAAAAGAGAAGTCAGTATTCCGTGGTTCGCGGGCGCTCTGCACTGGTCCTTCAGCAGCCGGCTCCAGGCACCTTTGGGAGACCTGCTCCGCAGAAAACGTGGCAGGGGGGATCACGGCCGTCCCAGATACTCGTGTTCTTCTCCCTCTCATGAGAAGCAGAAGTTGGAGTTGGACGCATAAAGAAAAGCCAGAAACGTGACCCCAGGTGGACTCGGGGGACGCAGGTCCCCATGTGGGTCTCCAGCACTGGCTCTGCTATGGGGCGAAGAATCCCCACTCCCATCTGCACGCTTTCTTGCCTCTGTGTGTAAGCTCCTTGTACAATCTCAACCCATCTTGTATTCCGTGGCCCAGAATATCAAACGGTTATTTTTCCCCCTCCATAATCCAAAGGGCAGAGTGGTGGGAGGCCGTCAGGGTGTGGCGCATAGGGGCTGGAATAAAACTCGTGGGCTCCTTACTCGCAGAGGCTGTTTCGGTTCCTCCGGATTCCCGGGCGCAGACCCCTGTCCCTGTGTCCCGGGCGGCAGCAGCTGGGGCTCCACTGGGAGGAGACAACCTCACCTTCCAGGTCCACGTGGGGTTCCCTGCCCCAGGGTGGGTCAGAACTCAAGATGGGAAGGCACCCCCTCCCAGAGGCCTCTTCTTCCGGCCAGTAGTAGTCCTCAGATCCAGGTGCATCCTGGAATCCACGTGACCCTTTGGCAGGTCTTTCTGTCTGTATCACACCAGTGACACAGCATGTCTTCAGCATCCTCGACCAGTGACCACAGGTCCAGAATTCCTCTATTTTTTTTTCCTCCTTTTTCCCTTTCAGAGACTCCTCTGGGAAGGGCATTTTATCTGGAATTTATCTTTAATCTGAGCCTCTTCCCAGAGACAGTATGTAGAGACTGAACGGCCCTTGGGAAGAGCTAGTGCAGGGCATCTGTGAAGAGCGACAGGGAAGGGAGACAGGGCTTAGGGAGGCGCGTGCTTTTGGAGGACCCGGGCTGTCGACACAGGCATTCTCCGCCTCTGTTGGGGTGTGGTACCAACACTCACGTTGGTATGAGTTTTCACCTAAACCCTGGGGGTGGGGAGAGCGGATGCCCCGGCCTTCCAGAGATGTCGGCTTTCAGCCTTGCCTCATGGTCCTGCTTTAATGGCCCCTGCTCTATACCGTGGTTTTAAGATGCAATTAAACTTTCACAGCTTCCCATATCTGAAAGATACGTTTAAGTGCTGAACCTGTTAGATTCGTGTAGCAAAGTAAGAGGAAATAGCATGTAGATGGAAAGCGAGGGGGGAGACCGTGTGGGGCGGGGTACACACCCTCTGACCAAGGAGGGAGCTGGGGAGCCCTGGCAGACGCAGGAGGGGCAGCAGGCCACTTTCAGTGGAGTCACACACTCAGGACTGGGCTCGCCTAGGACTCTGGGAGCCCCGCAGCGCCTGCGCAGCCTCTTCTCTAGGCTCCATGCAGGACAGCTGACCCCCTTCTCTGCCACCTGCCCCTGTCCCCTATTGGCACTTCAGGAGAAGACGGGTAGCAGTATGTTCTCTGTCTCTGCCTCAGAGTTGTTTAAAACTTCAGCTGCATTTAATACCAGGAAAGCCTCCCAAAATAAACAAGATTGCAGGGCCCTGTTCTTTATAGCTTTAAGGGAAGGGCGCGGAGCACACATCTGCAGGACCCATGTCAGCGGCCTCCCGTCGGGGCGGGCCACTACTCGGCGCTTTCAGGAGGACGGTGCCTCGCCACCGCATGCGTGGCCCCGCTTCTGCACTGAGCCTTTCCCATCCCACCCTGCACAGGTGGGCGTGTGTGCAGGTCTGAGTGGCATTTTGTAGCAGATAGTTTCAGAGCATCTAACAAGAAGGTGTTTTCTGGAGAGCAGTGACCACCCAGACCTGGAAACTGTCCCCAGGCATGTGGAGCAAGCCTGTGGCCCTGCACCCCTCCTCACTCCTCTGTCCCATGAGTGGAGCTAATGCTGGACCTTGAGGTTTTTTTGTCCAGAAATTATTGATTCTGATGGTTTAGGGGGGAAAAAAACCAACCCTGCAGCAGACTTCCGAGCTATGTGGTGCTGTGGCGTGTGGCTTTCGCTCAGTTCTGCCTTTCAGGCATCTTCTGTCAGGATACTAAAGCCCTGTGTCATTCTGTTGGTGTCTAATTGGGCGGCCTTAACGGTTGGCATAGACGGGTCCTTGGGTCTTCTGGATGTCACAGGTGGGCAACGCTGGCCTGCATTCTGCCAAGGAGTTAAGGGGTGAGCCCCCCGTGCCTTCGAGGGTACGAACACCTCTCCTAGAAGACCACCTGCGCTTCCAGGTACACCGTTGGATAGTCATGCACAGGCAGTGGAAGCCGACTCTGACCTTAGCAGTGGCCCATTGTAACCAACACCAGCACCCCCAGAAAGGGTTATCCCCACCTCTGAGGTGATCTGAAGCCCAGAACCTCAGGGTGGAGGCAGGTGGGGGCCAAGCTGGTAAGTAAGTTGTGCGCCTGCTCCCAGGGAAAGCACAGACTCTTAGCTGAGAAGCCTCAGTTTTCCCTTTTGCAGGCAGGACCTGAGGGCTCCTCTTCACTCCGTGGCCCTTAGTCGTGGTGGGGTCTCTAGGATTCAGGCCCAGCACAGGCTGTCAGCAGGTTCTGCACGCAGCTTCCTGGAGGAAACACGCTCTGATGACCAAGGGCGTCTACTTCTTTGTTTTATCAGGACTGGGGAATTGAGGGAAGGCTTTTACTTCAAGCTGAGGGGATGGAAGTCCCATGTCCCAAAACCAGACACCCCAAGAGCAGTGCTGGTGGCTCGTTCCCGGCCTTTCCGTGGAGCTGTCTGCGTGCCAAACTCAGGAGGCAACGTCGGTTGGGGCAGGAACGCTTCATGAGGGGTCCCAGTTCCTACGCTGAAACTCCCGGAGACCACTTCGCGGGTCTTCAAGCTGGGCATAGTGTATGACATTTATGGCCACGAGGAAGGAGCATGTGACACGGCCCCTGCTGACCGAGCGAAACTCCCCAAGGAGCTGCTGTCTGTGGAGGCTTCGGTTCTGCCTCTCCCAAGCCCTGGCCACTGCAGGAGCGCTGTTCCTCTCCAGTACCACCCCACAAAGCGCTGGGCCAGCATGCAAGAACCCAAGGAAGACAGGATCGCGGCACTTTGCCCTGTCGTGCTGTCTGACCCCAGGAATTAATTTAATCACATGAGGTATTTTTTTGTTCATCAGAAATAAAGTTTTAAAGGAATGAACATGTGTGAGGGTCTCGTGGCACTGGAAGGAAAGTGGATGGGGGACAGTGTGTTGACCATGGGAGGCAAACCCCACCTTGACCACCATGAGCAGCAGGCATGGTAGGGGAGGAGGGCATGTGTGTGAGACGGACAGACAGGAGGCGGAGCTGCAGAGGACCACAGGCCCTGCACCTCTGCCCTGGGAGGGGAAATTCAAAGAAATGGGATGGACAGGAAGACGGGATTATTTTCCTCAGAGTTAGGCTGCCTAGACGCAGAGCTCGGGTCTGCAGGGCATATCTAGAAGCACATGTGCTGTGTACCTCTTGCTTTCCACAGCGAAGGCTGAAAGTGTGGCCTCCAAGGAATCCAGTCCTGTGGGAGGGGGAGGTGGCTAGGGCTGGGGACAGGAACAGGTGAGGGGTCTAGTTGCAGGAGGGGGAATGTCAGAGTCTACAACCGAGGTTGCCCCTGGTGTGTCCATCAACTACAAGGAGGATGGCTTCTCAACTCTTCAAATGGCCCATTGATTGGAAAGGGTTTGGTAGTTTTGACTTAACAAGGACAATTGGAGCAGTGCCCTAATGCAGGCCTGGGGTGCGGACAGAGGTCTGTCTGCTGACGCTCTAGGGGGAGGAAACTCCCAGCCTGCTAGGTATGTGGGATGAGCTTGTGCTCTATAAAATTGAAGAATGAATTTTAGGAGCAGTGGAGGTTAAGAGCAGAGTATATTTATTGGGGGCAGAAAGCTTCTGTCGGAGAGAGAGATGGAAGGGGACCCGAGTGGGTTGCGCAGGACCCTACCTTGCCTAGGGATTTTTATAGAGCAAAACCATGAGGGAAGGCAGCTCCACGGTGGGAGGCATAGGTGGGACAAAATTATGGTCAACCAAGAAGATTGCAAGTATGATTGCTTGGGTCAGACTGATTAAGTGAGGTTCAAATGGGGAAGTGAAAGGGCTGGGGAGATGGCTCAGTGGAATAAGCGCTTCCCTGGCAAGTGCAAGGATCTGAGTTCAATCCCCGGTTCTGCCAAAAAAACAAAAGGAAGTCAAGTAAAAGTGGGCATGAACACAGAACAGGGGCTCTTCCTGTAGGGGGGTGGATTAGTGACTTGTGGCATTCTCAAGGAGATAGAGACCTATTTAGAATATCACTCCCTGCTGTCCATCCCTAGGGAGGTGTGTGGCCGCTTTTGTGTCATATTTTGTCTTGAGGTCCAGCCCACAGCGGAGGTGCCCGTCTCCGCAACCGCCGTAAGGCATCTCGGCCTCCCCGCTGGCTCCTTGAGGGCCCAGCCTTGCTGACTGCCTAGACTACTTCGTGTTCTAACTCGGGCGCCTGCAGCACTGACAGCTGCATGGCTCTGCATGACACACTCTTCTCAACCCCCAGCAGCAGCCAACCGCGACCAAGCAAGGTGGGCAGTGGCAGGTGCAGTGTTAGAGGCTGGCGAGGGGGACGCGGGCAAGTCGGGCTCAGTCCGCCCAGCAGCTGCAGGGCACCGGAGGCTGGGACCCTGTGTGTCACCCAGAGAAGGCCAGGAGGGGGACAACAGGGCAGGCCTTGGAGATAGGGAGGCTTCTGAGATGAGGGCGCCCCCACTCCTGGGGCGCGGGGGTGAGGACGAAAGCAGATGTTCCATCTCTGGGGAGCTACTGCTGAGCCCTGGGTTGTCTCCATTTAATCCTCACAGCTACGTACAGCAGCTCCGGTCACTCACCATCCCCGATTTGTTGGTGAGGCGGAAGCACAGGCTAAGGGCTTAGGGAGTTTGCCTAATGCCACACAGCTGGTAGAACGCTGGTCTCCCGCTTCCAGACCTGCCTTGTTTAACAGCCAAATTCTGTTCCTGCGACTAGATACAAAATGAATTGGTCATTAACTGAGGAACTGCGTGTAGTGTAGACATGACAATAATCAGAACAAAGAAAAGCTCAGAGGGAACACCGACTTTGCTTTCATTTGCATAACTCTTCCATGCAATACTGTAAAACATAACATAAAGCCACAGCGCAGTCCGATGCAGCACGATCAGCGCAAATTACACTACTGAACCGTAGAAGTCACCATGAGGTCACACTGCTACTCATGGTCCTGTGTTGTAAGTCAGTGCAGGTGCACCTCGGCCTTCCGGCGTTAACAGGGACCATCTGTGCCGTACGACTGCCCAGCTAACGCTTGGCAAGGCGCAGGCTCAGCTCCTGTTTCCAGAGCTCATGCTTTATGCACACCTGAATCTATGGAGAAACCTGAGTGCGCCTGGCCTGCAAGATGCAGGCGTCAAGCGGGCAGAGGTAGGAAGAGGAGGAAGCCGTGCCCGTGCGGCTGGGAGTGGTTGAGGCCAGAGGATTCTGGGTAATGAGGATGGGAGGGAGGAGGCCATGGGGGTGTAGGGAATGGGGAGTAGCGGAGGGTTCTGGGTAATGAGGATGGGAGGGAGGTGGCCGTGGGGGTGTGGGGAATGGGGAGTAGCGGAGGGTTCTGGGTAATGAGGATGGGAGGGAGGTGGCCGTGGGGGTGTGGGGAATGGGGAGGAGTGGAGGGTTCTGGGTAATGCGGATGGGAGGGAGGAGGCCATAAAGGTATATGGAAAGGGTAAGAGCGCTCAGGGAGCACCTTACTCTAGAGGTGGTGTCCTCCTGCTCTGTGGCCTTCAATCCAGAGAAACTAAGGCTCGAGATTCAAAGAACCTCCACTGGATCTTTTTATTTGGACATCTTCTACCTGAACAGAACATAACTGTAGGAGCTTTGCTGCCCTAAAACTCACCAACAGGAGAAAACCTTGTACCCTCTGTGTCCAGGGCTGGCCTGGGGCTGTGGGCAGGAGTACCTGCTGGAACCTGAGCTCCGTGGCCACACACACCTTTACCTTCCTGTCTGGGCCTCTCTTCAGAGTTTGCGCCTCATTTTCAGAAGGAGCAGCTCATTCTTGTCAGCTCAAAGCTGTGCATTGGAGAAACGCTGCCTGGACTCACCAGAACGCTGACCGTGTGTGTGCGTGGATCGGAATCTTCCAGTGGCAGACGTGACCCACGTGAGGTCCTCCAGCTTGTGTGTCCCGCACCTGACACTGCACAGTGGCCACAGGATGTTAGGGGCTCTCAGCACTTTGGACAAAGAATAGAAGGTCCAGCCTTGCCCTCCAAAGATGGACAGCCACCTATACCCCACCCACTCATCACCTTCTCCACTGCAGGCAGGCAGCTGAAGGACTTGTAGCTCAGGGAGGAATCAGAGATGAGCTGGAGCTGCCCACTAGGGCAGGAGGAACATATGCGACCTGGACACTCACGTAGGAAAGGGTGGAGAGAGGGGGCTGCTAAGGGCTGAACTGGACCAGGCAACCTGGGCTTTGTCCATAGGCAAGCAGAAACCCAGAAACCCTCAGACTGGCTGTGGTCCTCAGACCTGCAAGCTTGTATGTAGCTCACCTGCTGCAGCCGGGCATTCAGAGGAGGAAAACCCGCCTTACCCATGTGCTGGCTCCTCCGTGCCATCCTGGCCACAGGGGGCAGTGCCGCTCCACGGGATGCTGATGGATAGGGCCCTGATGCTTCCCTGGACAAAAGAAGTGGTTCGTGGGCAGATCGAAGTCAAGACTGGTAAGTTAAAAAGCCTCTGGGGGACCTCGGGGCTTGGAGGCCCTCATGCCTCAGTAGCTCCAGAATAAGCATGCTCTAATCCTTTGACTTCAGAGAAAGCAGAGAGTATTATTGTCGTTGATATTCCAGTACCTTTGGAAGGAC